GCAGCTTGAGTGAATGAACTCAGGAAAGGGTGGAGTGGGGGCTGTATTTCAGCCAAGAATAAAACAATAACAGACATAACATTTTTTTGGCTCACAACAGCAGGACTTTCAATGTCATCTCTACAGTCAAAGAAACGTCCAAATGAAGGAGTCATAAGAACTTGGCATCATTGGTACCACTGCTGGAAAACTGCTTGACATGAGCTGGCCAACATGGGAAGTAGTGTAATGCCACGACACCATCTCTAATTACTTATATTTAACCGTAAGATCAATTTGCAGAATGAGTAGCTTGAAGAAGCCTGACAACAATCATGGCCTCACTTGCTGAAAGCTGAATCCCCAAAACCCCTGCTCAGTTTCATAAGGACTGAAGGTGCTGGGCAGGTATTCAACGTGTTGGAGGATAGAAGTATTTTGTGGTAATTTGGCAGGAGGAATTTGAAGAAAATTGCCTTAAATCTATGACTCATTTTCTCCTTGATTCTAGGAAATTCTCCTTTTGACAGATTAAAAAGTAATGCAAAAGAATTAAAGTGTGTTGGAATCACTAAAAGCAGGGGGAAATGGGCTAAGGAGAACCCTTGCTGAAGTATGATCAGGTTTGGCTGCTGTAATCTAGGCAGCAATTAGCTCTAAGTGTATGCATGGCAAAGTTCAGCTATTGGCACCTGGGAAAGGTAAAACAGCAGAAACTGCAGCTGCTCTGGTTAAATATGCTCAGAGAACTTCCGTGAGCAGTCTAGATGGTACCCATGTATAATACCACAACCTATATTGATAAGAAATGTTACTGAGAAATTGGTTGACTCTGGGCTCTTTTAAACTTCAGATAATCTTCAGGCCACATCTTGAATTTGTTGCTCTGGGTTTTACAAATGATAAAAAGAGATGGAGCGTCTAAGTAGGAGCTGCAGGACTTGGCTTCTGATTCTTGAGGTGACCATACCTAATATGTATCTATTAAGCACAACCACCCCCTGAAGGCAAACGTACTCAGATGAAGAGAACATGGAAGAAGGGTGTATGAAAGTCAACATAAAAATGGGAATTCACCACCCTCCCTGATTTCACCTTAAAAATGGACCCATCAAAATTTCCCAATGAAACTTCTTACTTTTGAAAAAAAAAATACTACTTACTGAGACTTTATCTATTTGACTGAAATTCCAGCTGGAAAATACATTAGAAGTATTTAAATATTTCTAAGAGATTGTGAGAGTTTAAAACTTTTTAATCCTTATTCAGTACCAAAGTAAATTTTAAATTCCATCTGGGGAATAGAAACACCGTGTTTTAGCTTGTTCTAGTCAAACCAGTGCTAAAAAGATAAAGTAGGAACTTGCAATTTCCTCCCCCTGTAAAGGTGTTGGTGTTCAGTAGAGATATATTCCTGATCACATTTTTTTTTCTCAGAAGTGAAGGCTGTAATTAAAAAAACCCAAACAACACTGAGGCAAATCTATAAAGTGGATTACTGTAGAGTATGGAGAAAATGACCTTCCAAAGTTAAAGGAGAAGCTGAAATAGCCAATAATTAAAATGTCATAGGTAGAATTGAGCTGGTAAGAAAAAGCAAATATTTAAAGATGAGAAATATTTAACAAGTCACTGGATTAATTTCTCTGCCAAGTTCATCAGAAGCAAATATATTTTATTTGATGTCAGAGACATTAGTTAGAATCTGACTAACCTTATAGGCACAAAAAAACCTTAGAGACCTCTTTAGCCCAGAATAGTTTTGATGCAGGAATCCCATCAGTGAATGTGTATTTTTCAGTGAGGTAGATCCACCTTGGTGTTGAAGACAAATAATTGCATTTTATGAAAGAAAATTACAACTGCTGTACAAATAACTGCTCATTCTTCCATCTTTTACTGCCCGCTCTGAAGGAGCTGATGTTCTAGCAGAATCCAGCTCTTTTATTGCAAGGTAAGTATGAGATACTCCTGTCACTTGACATACCCAAGATGTATGTCCCTTCCGGGAGCTGTTCTGAGTTTTGCTCTTCTCCTTCACTGATTTCTCACCATCTCTCCTCCACGGAGATATCATCATGATTAAGCCAACAATCACAAATTAAAATTAGATTGAGATTTCAAGGTGATTCCTTCTCTGTTTTCTTCATCTCCAGCCTAATTGCACAGGCTTAGCAGAGGTGCGTACTTTCATGTTTTCAGTCTACTGATTCAAACATCCCTCAACCTGTGAACAGCCTGATATTCAAAAGGCTGGGTCATAGAGGGATGCAATTCCATTTAAAAAAAAGGCTGGGAATAAGTCTCCACACAGAGTGTGTCTATACAATGCTTTGAAATTATTAAGAACTCCTGTTCCTTCTAATTCTTCCTATTAACACGGTGGGAATGAAGCTGATTAATGGCAAGTGGCCAGTGCCCCAGTGAAGACACAGGTGGACGGTTCCTGCCCAGTGCTCGGTACCTCCCTCCCCATTCTCTTGAAGCAGCCGGGATTGCAGGGAGCCGAGTCAGTGAAACAAGGGCTGCACTCCTCGTTACTGACCAAATCACTGCGCAGTCACTCCTGTAGGACTGCTCCCAGTTGGTGGATGTCACTGCCTGCACTGGCTATCCTGCACTGGGGCAAGGGAAAGCCCCAATTGCTATTATTTTTACTAATATTTGAAAGGTTCATCTTCAGTGCTTCTTTCACTGGACTAGCTTGTAGAATTAATATCTGTGTCAAATACTGCAATATTTCAGTTCAGGCTGAATTTTATCTTTATGTGTACTACTTTTAAGAAGAAACATAAACATAATAATCAAGTGTTTTAACATGGCAGAGTATACACACTCCTAATACTACTAATGGCAATGTCTGTGCCATTATGTTGAATTAAAAGAATGACTTGTGTATGTTTATGGTAGCCCATGATTTCATTTACATACAACTGAATTGGTTAAATTTACAATTTAAACAGTAGATCATCTGTACGTACATCCTGTATTTGGACAGTTCCTATATTATTGTTATACTGATAAAATTAATGTATTAAAGGAATATATAAAGCCTAGCCTAAGCTAGTTCACTGAGCACCGAACACATAGCATTTAGTGACTGAAAGGGGAAAAAAATTAAACAATTTGCATACTTCAGTACTGTAGCAAATGACTGCATTGACAAGGTCACCATGCTAAGTTGACATTAACCACACCACATCCAACTTCTAAAAATCCTCCAATATTTGCACGGTGACGCCTGTAAAACATCATTAAGTGTCAGACTCTTAAGGGTTTTTTTCCCTCTTGCCTGTTTAATAAGCAATTTATTAATTAAGAATTCAGTATGCTTTTAATTTACATAGGAAAAAAAGCTTGAGTGCTCTGGGTTTTTTGTGGTAACACAGCTAGTGGTACAAAATGCCATTTCTTCCCCTACTATATACGTAAGTGTATTTCCAAAGGTAACTCCCATTGAAACAGATAACTAGCAATTTTTTTTGTAATCAGAATCTAATTAGGCTGTTGTTTACTGTATAAGTGATCAATAGCTTTTATTCTGGATCACACAGTGTCAAAGCTCTAATAATTGATATTAAATGTAACAGAGGTACTGTAATCAAACCAAATGTAAAAAATCTTCAAAAAGTATGTTCTATACTGGGAGGTTATTAGAATTCCCGATACTGCTTAAAATGTTTAATGTGCTGAATACAAACGATATTTTAAAGAAAGCTTTGTGGATCAAAGATGGATTTAATAATTATAATGTTTATGAATTTGTTTTGAAAATCATTTTAATTGGATAATGTCAGACTTGTGAATTATAATGCTATGTTCATTAGCATTTCAATAGGTTATATTATCAACTCCTTTTGACATAAAAGAATTTGATTTATTTTTTAAATCATGAATCTCGTAATCTTTTTTCTGTTGTCACTAGTTTTCAATAATTTGATTAGCTTCTACAAGAAGAGCAACAGGAACCACATGGGCTTTGCTGGTAATGATGTGCTATGTATTTCTTCTACGAAAGCAGCTCTGCTGCTTTTGAAAGTAATTTGCTGTTTCTTATCAGCACAGAATTAAAGACTAATATTGTCTAATTTGTTATGTTCAGCGGCACAGAGTATCATAGAAATCCTATCACCCACACAGTGCTCTGAAACCTATATTATGTGACCATAATTAAGTGTACATAAATGAATTTCAGAATTTATGAAACTGTATATTATTAGCTAAGAAAAAGCTCAAAAGATGAACTTGTCAATAGGTTTAATAATCTCTTAGTAAGATGTGTATTTTGCACACTCCCAAACTTCATTGCAGTTTATAAAACAGTAATTTGTACTTTATAGTTTTATTGCAAATAACTGATCTGGACATTTTCAGAGCAGGACAGGGCATAATTGTGTAAGTTTCAATGTAAATCCATAAATTCAACATGATGAACTCCTTGCTGGCTAAAGTTATCTCCTACTTTCTATAGAAACAAAAACTGATTACTGTTGATCATTTAGACATAACTGCTTGTAACAGTCAACAAGCCATCATAGTAAGGTACAAAGACAGCCCTTAGGAGAAATGCTGCCTATTTGATGACATTTAAAGCTTTAAAGATTTCCTTCTGGATACTGCAGAAAATCATCATGAGACAACACAGGCTGTCAATGTCACTGGATGAAAACCCAAGCAATCAAATCATGTATACTGGCAATATTGCCATCCAAACCATTAAAGCAATTTATGGAACTGGTCTTGCAAACAGTTCATCATGTCAGCAATGCCAAGGTCTGCAGTAGGAACGACCAGGGTGAGAAAAGCCTGTCACATGGGTGAGTGTGCATGACGCTGCCTTGTCATTGGATCAACCATCCTTCTGTGTTGATTTTAGCAGTCTAAGAAGTAAAACATAGTTTAAGTGATATCCTGCTACCTCTTTTCCCTCGACAATGTTGTGATAAGAGAAGTAAGGCATGAAGTTCCGGTAACTTTTGAACTGACAGTATCAGCTGTGTATAAACAGACAATGCTGTTTTAGTAGAGCAAATAAATGTATGCCATTTTTTATTAAACAAACAGTATAATAACTGGACTATATTATCACAATGGAAGCACAGAAGACCATAGACTGTACAGCTGAAACCCTGTAGCAAAATTGTTTCTACTGCTTATCCTCAAATTTAAAGAACTGTATCTTTATCAAGCGTTCGCAATGGCTGCTTCTTGTTAATTTAAAGAACCTTCACCCTTGTTAAGGCTAGATGATTATAAATAAAAGATAAACGTACTGTTAGAATGTTCTATGCCACACTATTTTTATGAGAATTTAACTGAAAGACATACATTGTACCTGTATGCGAGTTATAATGGCTTCTCAGCAGGGAATGCAGAATCACTTACAGTACATAAACATTTAAAGAAGAAAATGCTAATACACTGAAAGAGTTTAACATCAGTAGCAATTTTTCAAATGGAGAAGTTTCATAAAGTCCACTCTCTGGGAGAACATTCACCATTAGACAAAAGCCTGGCATCCTTGATAGTCTGAAGTTCAATCAATTTGAAAACCAAAAGCATTCAATGAGATAAATAGGATCTTAAGAAAACTGCCATCCTCCTTCTCAGGTAAAAGCCAGAATTAAAATAATTATTTTTAAAATAATCCAACCAGGTCGCTTTACAGGCAAATTTACACACTGTCTCTTTAAAACACTGCATGCCCAAAAGCCTTTTGGGTTTGGAATGTAGCACTGCACCAAGTATTTCACAAAGCCTCTAAATATCACAAGAAGCTTTTTTAGAGAGAGAAAAAAAAAATCCAGCTGACTGAAACTGTTCTAGCAGGAGTGCCTCAGCTTAGCTCCCAGACCTGGAATTCCAGATAAACAACAGAGGACAGGAAACAGATTTTTTAATTTTTTTTTTTTTTTTTAACACGTCCTTTTGTAATGCAGCTACAAGATGACTGATGAGCTTAGGAACAAACAGAGTGAGAGTGCAAGTGTCACCAGAGTGAGCGGTGTGCTTAGATAGGAGCTTCTAGGAAGAGCGAGCGAATTCTCCGAAGATATGTGACTGGTGGAGACTCCTGCTGTGTTGTCTTTCCCAATAGCATTCTGCAAGACACAATACTGCCCTTGGTCACTATTACACATTTTCATTGCAAAACATTTAAACCTACATCACAAAAGTAATCTTTTGTTTGTTCACCTCCCGCCCTCCACTGTTACTTATATATCACTGTCACAGATCAAAAGATACGAAAGGCATAACAACAGATGTTAAAATGTCAGTATTTTAAAGTTAGTTTAAAGGACAGAAACACCAGCACAGCACAATTAAAAAAAGAAGAAGGAAGTATTAAAAAATCCCTACTTTAGCAGTGGGTCCATGTGTAAACCTACCCTTGTTAAGTATGGCAATTTTTTTAGCGATCCGTGTTTATCATGCCAGTTTATTTTAAAAAGCGAATGCAGGACCCGCAGAGAAACTGCAACTTCTGCACAGTCAACAGAACAACTTTGTTTGGCAAAAAGTTACTTGTGGATAACAATAAATAAAATCTAATCCATGGGATCAGAAAAGACAGAATTTTCTTGCTTATGAAAATTTTCTTTCTCACACTGTTTTTCCCTTAGTTGCTGCAATATTTACATTCTTTGTCTTCTTTGCTACCAATAATTACACAGTATGCATATGCAAATACAGATAGGCAGATTACAGTGAACTGCTTAAGGAGGAGCTGTAGCAGGGATATTTCTCATTGCTGTCATCCTCAGTAAAAAGAAAAACCTAACCGGTATAATCACAGAAGTAGAACAATTTAGACTAGAAGGGACCTTTAAGGTCAATAACTCCAACATACTCCATGCAAAGTTGCTCAGACCCTGTCCATTCAGGATCTGAAAATCCCCAAGGATGCGCCTTCTACAGAGGGGAAAAGCCTCCCCCACCCTGAAGAGGCAAGGGGCCAAGTACAAGCTAGAAGTACCCAGAAGAGCAGGTACAAAGAATGAGTACAGAGCATCCGCTTCCACAGGAGGGACTGTCTACAGAGGCAGTGAGGCATTCACGGATCAGTCTCCTGCTGCTCCCTCACTTTGGTATCACCTGCTAGGACAGGCTCACTGGAAGGCCTTAAGATGCAAACTGTTAGAAGCAGTAGAGTCATCGTGGGAATCATCACAATAAGCTTTCTTACCCTCAAGCTTGGGCATCTGCTTTTTGGAAACTGTCACAGAGAGAGTATGGGATAAGATGGACCTGCAGTTCTTGTGGTAAGCTACAGTTACCAGGGCCTTCTTGTGCAAAGTCTTTTAGCCAGGACAAGATGTCAACAGATCTGTTAACGTTACTGCATTGTTCTGTCACATGTTATTAGGCTTCATTCTAGTACCTACAGGAATCTCTTAATAGAACCTGTGTGTACAGCTGGTCTTGCTCCAGTGCCTGGGCTATGTGCTTCCACATTGTAAAAACTAATTTATGTACATCACTAATTATTAAGCTTCCTGAGAGACTCAGTACAAAGGATATGGACTGACAGACATGGAAAATGATGTAATGTTTACGTCTGAAAGCGGGCCTTCAAGGTCAGGCTGAGCAGACTACTCAAGCAGCACTGGGAGGTTCGTGTCTCTTGGGGCTGTCTATCTGCCTCCTGATGTATGAGCATCACATCTCCTGACGTGAACCTCATTTCATGCCCTAAACTGGTCATTTTTGTTAGCCACAGAATGATGTCCAGTATGTTTCCGTGTATTTGTTAAAAGCCGTATCATCCTGTGTTCCTGCATATTATTAATTATACTTGCTAGGTGCAATGGTAATTACCACAGGATCTGTCTAAACACGTACTATACAGCTATTAAAATATAAAGTCAGCAGAGGCCACTTTGAGCCCAGCTCTGGATTTCTGAGTAAGATCATTCTTTAATACATTATGGTAACCAAACGTAACAATACTACCAAGACTTTAGTGTGAGGTAAGGCCATTATAATCTTGACAGACTTTGAACATTTTATATCATGGGGAGGCACCTGTCCTGTGAAATATACAGGATCCACACTTACCTCATTAAGACAGAGCTCTGTATCCACAGATTCATTGGATTTCCGCTTCTTCTGTGCCTATGAACAAATGCAAAATTTATTCCCTGTACAATTTATACATACAGCAGCACAAAACAATCAGATAAATTTGCATGGCTTGTCATACTCCTGTAATTTTGACAGTGATTTGCACATGATTAAGCAAATAAACTCTCCAAATGTAACTGCATGTTTTCCAATAACATTCACATTCTGATTTGAATTTACAGCAAAACTTCAAACAGTCAGCTAAGGGTACTTAGTAATTACAATGATGAGTGCCATCAGCTGCAGAGAACCTGCTGTGTTCTGCGGCCCCTTAAAAATGGTACTGGATGTTCATGAGAAGAAATGAAATATGACAGTTAATAATTACCATAATACCACTCCATATTAACAAAAAATCTTTCTCATGCCTCAGTTTTAGGAAGATATACAACACAGGAGTATTTTATCCTCACTGATTCTTGCAGTTTCCCCAAGTGTTATTATGAAAATACAAATACAATTTTAATATATCGCACAGCTGCCAGAGTCTCTTCCAGAATGTTACAAAAAGAACGTTTAATGCCTTTTAACATATATACCTGTAAGTCAAATTGAGCTGTTTGTTGACATTGCATTCACTGATTATTATACACGGAATATTATTAAATGCAGGAATATTTTAGATGATCAAAAACTAAAAAATGAATCTGCTATATCTTCAGCCATGTCTTATGATGAGCATCCTATTGCTATTACTGTGTACTCTCCACACTGACTCATTTCTGGTGGCAGCATCATACAAAACGAAAGCAATAGTGTGCACTCTGTCTAGCATCATATGGTGTTTAATATTTCCATTGCTCAAGTGGACATGACTGGGCTGGGAGCTTTCTGCTTTTCTACAAAAGCAATAGCAATCCCCATGGTGCTGAAGATACTTTCAATAAATGGTGCTGTGGCTGATTTAAGTACTTCAGTGATTCTCAATATAATTTCTTTCTTTGTATATTCCAGAAACACAAACAGCACTCTTTTATAGGAACTACCAGTGCTAAATGTACAATCACGTATTATAACAGAAGACTCACTGAAACTACTGGCTGCACTGAGAAATGTCTGGTACTTCCACCTGGAAGTTTTGTTGGACTTGCAATTTATTTCCGGCAAAAAATGAGGATCTAAATCTTACCATGTTGCATTAATTTTACACTGCAGAATCCCACTGGTTTTGGCAGAGATGGACTGGACTAAAGTTGATGTGAGGAAGTGCTGAGCATTCTGATTTTATACCCTCAAAAAGTTCAGCTCCACATACGGCTATTTTATGTTATATCTGAGAGCCACTGGTGCTGCCTATGGATTCAAAATAGACTTTGACCTAATTACTGATTTTAGAATCCAAATGAAGGAACTGAACTTCTCATTAGGAAGCGCATTCTTGATTTTCACGACACTTTTATATTCATAAACATGAATATATTAAAGACCAGTGAAAAACTAAAACAGTTGGGATTTAACAGAAAGACAGCTTAGCTATAGTAAGAATGCATACTGTATACATGTTGATAGTTTTCAAATATATGACAAAATAATAGCTCAATTAATTAATAAACAACCTCCATGAAATCTCTCTCTTACATACCCTTTCTTCTAATTAGTACCATTAATGTGTTTATGGTAAGCATAAATTTAACTATGTAAATGGAAAAAGAAATGCCTGGAAGTAAATTTGCTACAAGAAGCAGCAACACAGTGAAGTCTTCCTGCTGTGTTTGCAGTGGTGGTGGTATTCTCACAGGATAGGAAACTTCTTTCAATGGTAACTAGGTAGATTTCAACTCCTAAATGGCTGTCTCCAAGGAGATGGGTAAATAAGGAGAAACCAGGTTTCAATCCTGGTTTTCTTACATCCTAAGCACTCACACTACATTGAATTGGAATGTGACGCTTCAGATGAGGCCTCAGGTTCAGAGGTTCAGACCTTGACGGTGCAAACTGTAAGGATCAAACAAGCCTTGTATTCCTTAGTTGGTCATTCAGTGCTAGATTTCTTAGTCCACATGTGCATCTGTCTATTGGAAACATTGCGCTTTGGTGCTTATGCCTGCTTTGGATTTGTAACATGGTGTTAACTACAAGTCTACCCTTGGTAGTTGGTCTCAACACCAAAGTCAGAATTTATGTTCCTTCTGTACTGTGTTTCTTAAAAGAGAAAAAAAACCCTAACATTATTTGGCCTATATGCAGTAAAGTCTTCCTTTACTTCAGTTTGATAAACAACAGAGTGCAGCAGCTAAAACATATTTACCTTTAAGAACAGTATTTTAAGGGTAAAATCAACAGCTAGAAACAAAATCAACACAAAAAAAACTTTTCAATCATTTTGATCGATACTCCCTAGCTTTCTTTTAGAAGGTAATACTTCTCTGTATCCATATACTTATTGTAGTCATTCCAACATCAACAACGCTTATTCATATGCATCCTCTATTATAAAGTCCTCCCTTCTTAGAATTGAAAAGTAATTTTAACAATCAGGCAGGCTTTTCTCTTATCAAAGCAGAAACGACAACATCTTCCATTTAAAAATACAGCAAAAATGCAACCTGTTTTGGTGGGAGGAAGGCAAAGGGAAGGAAAAAACTATCATTCTGAGGATGACATGAGACATTATATGCCAAGTTTCAAATTGGAAGAGTACATTTTTACTGTCGAGTTATAAACCTGTAAAAAATGGGTTATAATGGAAATGCTGGCATAGGCTGCACTACTGTAATACAACACTGCATCACTAAATCACAAGTAATGGAAAAAAAAAGTAACCTACATGTTGAAGAGAGTGCTATGGAATGTGTACGTCCTTTAATTACAACCTAAGGGGAAAATTCTTCCTGCCCTACTCTAGAAACAATTCTACGTGTAGCAGAGCTGCTGTATTTGTGCTACTATGAGTGAAAAACCTTATCAGGGGTAAAAATACAGGGCTTGGAGGTTATGCTGACAGCCTTGGTGGAAATACACCCAGACCGGGAGACACACATTCGAGTTATGAAGGGTACCATCAGCCATCGGATATTTACTTTATAACACCTTCCATTATCCTAAAAAATGAAACAATAGAAACGTGTGTGCATCACGTACAGCTACAGACAATTCTGCCAGGGAATATCTACACCATTAAAAATTTGGGAAGTGAGAGTTGTTCCTTATGCAAGATGTCAAAGGTTCACTGCCAAACCCCATCTCAGGTATCCTACATGTCTAACATACAGGCAAGAAGGTACCTTCAAATGTGCTAGAAGTACTGAATTCCACAGGAGTAAAATAGCACACACAAATGGCTAATAACTCAGTATTCAAACTTGTATTTTTTTGAATTTTAATACAAAGCTTTCATCTGGTGACAAAGAGATCTGTGGGAATTTCATCATTAAACAAAACACAAGCAGGGCTGGGCTGATAAAAATAATAATTTAAAAAAAAAACACTGCAAGAAAAGCAGCTTAAAATAACTGGTTAAACATATGGAAAGAGGTATGAGATCTTCTCTACCGAGGTAAAATAGCATTTGCTAATGACTTATGTACTCAGCTGTGACATGCTTCTGACTGGAAACCAAAGTTATGTAAGATGGGTTGACACTCACCCTGGCTTTGCAGGGAAACTATAATTCAGTAATGTGGGCTACTCTGATGAAGCTGCCCCCATACTGCCAACAACCTTGCACTCACGTAAGCTTTTACATTCTGTAAAAATGAACATCTGCTTTTACAGAGAATCTTATCACTGTGGTAGCACAAGCAACAGATGATATTTAGAGATAATCATATTCATGCACCTCCTAATGAGCTTCAGCATCCTGTCCGTTAGTCACACAAGCCTTGTTTTGGTCTTCACAACCTTTAGCTTTTAATATTCAAACTAAAGTGTTGGACTTAGTCAAGGGCTGAAAGAAAGTGACAGCATGCCCAGAAAAGAAAAATCTCTCATGATCAGAAGCAAAATTTTACTTAATTCTTTCCTAGAAAGAAAGGAGAATCAGGACTGGCAGAGGAGCTAGTGGTTTTCTGAATAGAGAAAGGAATATTGCTTATAGAGATATTTCTCCTCCAGACACAGGACCTCTATGTTTTTTCCATGAAATCCCAATGGCTCCTAGATGAGTTCAAGCATATGTCCTTGCTCAGACACACCTTAACCTAGTCCTCTCTTGTCCTGCACCTAATAATCACTGTAAGATCCTCCCAAACCTAGTAACTGTCTGCTTCTCATCCTCTGAATCCCTGTGCTTCCATCCTGTGCAGACACCTTAGCCTTGGATTTATTCCCAGAAATGCTATCTTGCAATTATGCATCCAGCTTCTACAAATCACAGCACTACATAGTTAATAAATGCATTAAACACTGCAGTGGTATCTCACCAGAAGTCAGTACCCACATTATTTATGGTGTGTCATCCAGCAGTATTTTTATATATCCACCACAGCATGCATATCTATGTTACTCACAGCAAGGAAAAGGTCTGACTGGGGATGGCTCCAAACAGAGGTGAGCTTTAATTTGGAGGTGGGGGGAAATGAGAAGGGAAATAAATGCATTGGACCTGAATGCAAACAGTCACAGAGTGAGCATCCGAACTCAGAAACCAGTCCCTTGCTGTTAGCTACACACTTTGGGCTTTATGTGCTTTACAGAACATATTGCTTAGACATTACAGTGAGAGACAACAGAAGTATCATTACGATAGATAGCTGTTATGTGGCCTGTTTTTTCTGCTAATTTTAACGAGTGTGCCTTTGTCCTCTCCTGAGATGCCTGGTTAGTTATGCCCATATTAACAAGCCTTTCTGAAGAAGAGGGACAAATCTCCCAGAATACATCCTTCAAATGACCACGCTTCTGAAGAAGGTATAACAAATGAGGGTGCTTGTTCTTTTTTTGTTCTATTCTCATGTTGATTAGAGAGATTTACTATGCACCAAACCTGCTTTTCTAACAGCAGGACACAAACAATAAGAAGAGAAATACGGACTGTAAAAATGCAATCAGTT